CTCTCCTCAAATTGTAGGTCTGTTTACTCAAAACAAGATCCAGTTGGAATTTTCCTGGGATTTTCTTTAGAGTCTTTAAAAATTGCATTTAATTTCACTAGCGACCTCTAAATTTTTATATTTTTTGATAAAAATATAGGGGTGTTCTTTTGGCATGAAATGGAAGCTTTTGAATTGAGAGGCCGAAAAAAAAAATTTATTTTTCTTATCAATCTAATGTACTTTATGTACATATGTATATATATCTCTTTCACTTTCATGATTTGCTAAAACATGCCAGTACTTATGACATTTTTCTGAAATTATCTATTGCGCAATTATATGGTAAAAAAAGCTACGCAATGACAATATAATAATATCGAACTGTCAAAGAGTTACAAAATTGAAGTACGTTATAGGTTCTCTGGAGAAAGATAAGAGTTTTTGTTTCTTTTATAAACTACAGAGTGCATTGCTCAGCGGGCATTGGAACATTCGAAACATTCTCGATTTCAACACATCAAAGAGGTGAAGAAACATCAACTGCTTCTCGATTGACCGATAACGTCCTAACCATTTGTACTAGTCGATTTCTTTCCGTCCTTGTAACTTTGAGAGATCTTCCGGCGACATTCATCGTTGCTTAAAAAATTCGCGCGTCTCTCGCGTTCTTTGTAACTTAGATCTCCGTCTGTTCTTCTTTCCAACTCACACAGAAATGTTCACAAATTATCAAAAACTCCTATCAGGCATTTCTATCTCCCTTTATACGTCAGTTAGTCTGAAACGAACGCAATTTGGAAAAGTGCCACACGGAATTCTTTATTTATTTTTCGGAAAGTCCGAGTAGAAAATATATAGCTATAAAGATAATACACATATGTTTGAATTTGAGAAATTTATAATTTTTGATAAAATTTAAAAAAATCTATCTTTGATCAAATTAAAAAAAAACATTTTTCTTAAATGTTTCAATTATTTATAGTTCTAATAATTTTTTATATGTATAAAAATAAGTGATATATTAAATTAACTTATTTAAAAAACAAATTTTATATTTTTATTAAAAAATGACATTAAAAGGCAGGAAAAAAATATTGGTTAAACATCGAATAAATGTATAAAAATATAATGATAAATAAATAATAAAGTAATATCGCGGGAGAGAAAGTAGATACTATAAATTTGCTCTATGCAATGGAAGTAAATTGGCGAGATAAACGCGGAACTGATAAATCACACGTAACGATTACCAGACGTGCAAGATAACGCAATTTTTAGAGAAAAAGAATTGCGTGACGTGCTTCGAATAATAATGCATTTTCTTTAAATTCCGTTTCCGTTCGGTTACCCGCGAGATTAATGTGGCAACCTGTCTACACTTCAAAGGATCTTTAGCGAAGTTCGCCAAGATCAAATGGTGCGGTATCCCGTACACGTCGCCTTTAATTAATTCCATTCGCAGCACCTCGATTTCGCTTGAATCTAATTGAAATGTTATTTCACAGCAAGTGTACATTCTCTAATATAATTCTCATTTTAAGCAGAATTTCAAGTAATACATCTCATAATTGGATTTAATCTTATGAAGCATGATGTTACATTTATGTAACACTTTTTAAAAAATAAAAAATATATATTCCCTGCAGCTGATTTTTTTTGTAACTTCATATTTAGCAGTAGGAATTACTGAATCCGAATTTTAATTAAAAATTTTAAATTTAATGATAATTTACTCGGAGTGGCAATTCAAAGACAAATTTTTCATTTGTATAATATATACTATAATAAAAAGTTTTGTTTATAGAAGGTATATTAAAACTTGATATCCGAAAGATTTTGGGGGTCACTGATTTCGAATTTGAATTTAAAATTTTTAAACAATATATATATATATTATAGGACCATATACGTGTGATAACACAGAAAAGAAAAGATAACACTATAGAAATAAAAATCTTAAACGGTCTAGCTGTATCTTAAATGCTTGTATGATTCTTATGAATTTATATACAATGTATGTAGTCTCCAGAAACACAAGAATCATATAATTCATTCAGCATTTAATTCAGCTCGTTTAAGGTTTTGATTTCTATAATTTATGTGATCACACATATACGGTCCTGTATATATTATATTGTATATAATATATTATATTGTTTATTTACATCGCCTAAAGAGCCGTTGTTCCTTCATATTATATATCAATTATTAGAAGAATATTACTAAGGCCTTGGTAGTTTAGTCTAAACACTTAGGACGTTCGCACGGAATGCAAGAGATCCGGGTTCAACATCTGGCTGAGATAATATTTTTCGCAATAAGAATTAATTATTTACAGATTTTAATGTTATTCATATAACATTATTAAGATTGTTTCGAAGATGCGAATAAGCATCGTGATATTACTGCGATATTACTGCGATAGTCTAATAGAATCAATGTTTTCAAGATCGAAAAATCATTTCAGCGCGCGTTTCTGGGGACTGATACATACATAGTATATAATTCACATAAGTATCATACAAGCATTTAAGCTCCAGCTAGACTGTTTAAAGCTTAAAATTTATAAAATTTTCAAAAAACAAGAAGAAAGAATATGGCAGAAAATCATGAAAAATAGTTGAATTTGATATAACCGTCATCAATTGTATTCTTTTTTTTTGGATCGCTCATTTTGAAGTAAAAATTAAAAAGAAAATGATTAACATTGCATAAAATAGATTGAATTATATAAAAGACTATGTTCGTATACGTTTTTGAAATCACTTATGTTGAATACAAGCAAAAAATTATCAAATTCAAAATGGTAGACTCAAAATGACAAACTCAAATACAAAATGCACTTAAATTTTTATGAAAACATACTCAGTAGTTTAACTAATTATTAATCAGTCAATTTTTTATGAATCCGCCATATTGAATCCAAGTAAATATTTTTAATTTTTAAATTTTTACTTGAGATTTATTATCAGAGATTCTAAAAACATCCCCGAATATTTATCCAATTTTAAGTAATTGGACCTATTTTTATCTTTTCAATGTGCCATTTAAAAAATTTTCAAAATCTGATTGCATAATTCATAATCAATAATCCCAAAAATTCCTTATATCAAGTTTTAAGAAATTTGAATATAAGAAAAAATGTGTGCTTTATAAAAGATTAAAGTTTTATTATATTGTGGCGAGATAAAATTGTTTCTTAGATACATTACCAATTTTTAATCGAAAATATACAATATATAGTATTTTGGTAATTTTATAATGATTGAATTTAATCTCGGAATTGAAGTTTCTTGTCGGAATAGATAATTATTAGATTTAAGTTGAAGAACTGGATCATAGTAAATCACATTATTCCAGTTTTTATAGCCATTTAGTGTTTCACAATTTCATAAATCAATTAAGAATAAAAGAAAAAGAAGAAGTTTAACTAGTTTTGTTTACAACGCTGCTTTTACTAAATACATTTGAAAATTTATTTTAAAAGATAAATGATCTCTTGAAAAAAATTTATAACAAAATTGCGCTCTCAGCGAAATAGACGTACGTGATTTATAATAGCGCGGCTTTCTCTGTCGTTGCAAAATCGAATAGCTCGTCAGATTTCGCGGGCAATTCAGGGCGATTGCATTCTTCAGAGTTGTGATCACCGGCGTTGCATCGAAATTGTTTGCCGGCTTTAATCTCGCCTCGCAGCAGTGACAAAGTATCATCCGCAAGCGCACCGTTACTTGAATCACCGGAGATGCGTCTGTCCGAGGTATTTTACAGTAATACCACTGCAGCGAACGATCGCCTGAACCAATGGTTAGACACTTACGTAACATTAAAGCCGCCGCTGGCTTTAATCTTGCTGCATGACGCACGAATGGCTTCACAGAAGACAATGTTAGGAACTTAACGGCGGAATTATTCCTGATGAGGCAAACTAATTCTGCATCGGCGAACTTGATTCGACAATAGTTACTATCGTAATCATAATATACAGTAAACATTTTAAAATGTATACAATTACTTTAACTATACAATTCGCAGTACAAAAAAGTATAACAAATATACATTTTTCCTAGAATAATTTACAAAATAAATGTTGTAAATTGATTTTTTACAATGATTGTTTACAAAATATAAAAGTTCCATAGGATTGGAATGTATAATAGATATTACTACTAACTCAGAAAAATGTTGTATAAAGAAATAGTTTATTGAAAATAATTACAAGTTGACGACAATATTTCCGGAAAAAATGATTATTACAAATTGGAGAGGAATTTTAGATTTACTAATTTCTCTTCTAGGTAAGAAATTCCATCAATTTATTTTCTGAGTTATGTAAAACTTCTACGGCAGTCCACAGGTCAAAAGTTACTGTCAACTCGAAAAAACATTTACATTAAGAAATCGCGGCTGAATGAAATATTTCGTTAGCGTTAGGTGCATAGTTGCTGTTATAGCCCTGAATTCACGAGTGAAACCGAATCGAGTGCGCTAGTCTGATTTCTTTCTTTGACTGCGTGTTCCTTTTACTCTGCAATGTGGTGCACACATAGATATCGATATGTATATAAAGGCGATATTCCGCTGATCTAGTTGCTGCTCTAGAGTGTCCTATTGTTGCGGACCACCACAATCGACGCTCCGTTTTTTAATTCCTTGATAATTAGCTCCCTCTGCGCTTCTGCGAACATCAAGTGCATCTCAAGACATGCACTGAAAGTTTATTTCAGAATTATTGTTCGTAATCAAGCAATTAAACACGAGTGTGCAGTTGTAGACTGAAGCCATAATAAACGATGTATCAATATATTCCTTATAATTATCTCCTTTTAAGATTTGGAGAAAAATATAATAAAGAAATATAGAATCTTTTGTATATGTTTTATGTTGTATGAGAGCTATCTCTCTGACTGCACGCTCGTACATCAGAGATGAATTACGTGGGCATGGAGTTCGAACGTTTTAACAATGGCGACTTTTTACGCATGAGCTTAATGCTAGCCGCTTTTTCTGTCACATAGGTCGACCTAAGACACATGGACGAAAAATTGGGGAGCAATGTAGTGGACGTAGGAGTTGACCTGTCCGAATTCTACATGTCGGTAGAATGGGATATTTTAGAAGTTCCTGCAGTTCGGTAAGCGTTATTTTATTTTATCTTCAAATATACATTAATACATCTCTATTTGCATATATACTCTTTATATATATATTGTTATAAAAAGTTCAGAGTTTTATTAAATTTGTTCATTTATACGCGATATCTCATAAAAATTATAATATAAGGACTTGAATTTGAGATCTTATGAATCAAATTTGTATCCTCATATTAAATACAAAGCGATTACAGTTTATTGTATTCAATATGAGATTTGCTAAGTTCATCTAGTTTCTTTGGATAAGATCTCAATCTAATCCCCAAGATATATCCTCAAATATAGCATCGAAATCTCAAAGCGCTCTTAGAAGAAGCTCCTTTCTCTTTCTTTATGAAATTCTTCTTCACATTCAATATGCTAGTCTGGCATAAGCGAACAGCTGCTTCCGGGCACGATTCGATTCCCGATATTCGATGTGCCGCGATGCAAACGGGAATCGGATTCTACTTCCGGAAGCTGCCATAATAGCAAAATGGATGTTGTCACAGACCTTTGAAATGACCTGCCACTAGAGATGTTGAAGATATTTTGAAATATTAGTGCTTTAATTAGATAATTTGAACACTTTTGGCATTGGTATTGTATTCTCCGTATTATCCGAAACAATACCACATTCGATTTAAGCACTCCTATTTGTCATGTATTGAAAACTTAATCCTCTTTGCGAGAAATTATGATCCAACAAATAGATAAAGTCAATCACAACAATGATTCTCGAGAAAAAATTGTACATAGAGATGATAAAATTTATTGGGAGTACAAATTAGTTCGGTCCGTTTTTTGTGCATTTATTTCAAAACAAAATGAATGAACAGATCAATTAAAGTATTGTCCATCGCTGTCTACTACTTTTTCCCATCTCTCAGGCAATTTTCGAATTCCCTCTCGAAAAAATGACTCGTCTTTGGAGGCGATCCAATTTTGGAGCCAATTTTCGATTTCTGCGAAAGAAGTGAATCAGTAACTTGCTGCATCCTTCGGAATAACCAGTAATCAGAAGGAGCAATGTCCGGAGAATACGGCGGGTGCGATAAAACATCTCATTTAAGCGTTTCCAAATATTTTTTTACGACTTTAGCGACATGAGGCCGAACGTTGTCATGAAGAAGAATAACTTTATCATGTCTTTGCTCGTATTTCGGCCGTTTTTCTCGCAATGCACAGCTCAAACGAATCAATTGCAGCTGATACCAATCACCTGTAATGGAATCACCAGGTTTCAGCAGCTAGTAAACAAGACCTTTTGGTCTCACCAGATACAGAGCATGATCTTCGAATCATGAATGTTCGGCCGTGGTGTTGATGTTGAAGTCGATGGCAACGACCGATTGACCGGGCTTAGCGTAGTATTTTTTCTTCTTGTCGTAGAATATTCACTTCTCATTTCCAATCACAATCCAATGCAAAAAATCTTTTCTCTGTTATCTTTGAATCAGCTGTTCGCAAGTGAAAAATCGTCTTTCAATGTCTCTCGGTTTCAGTTCATAAGGCACCCAATTTCCTTGTTTTTAAATCATTCCCATAGCTCTCAATCGTACAGAAACGGTTTGTTGAGTTATCCCCAATGATTCTGCAAGCTTCTCTTGCGTTTGACTCTGATCTTCTTCGAGTAATGCCTCTAATTCTTTGTCTTCGAATTTTTTTGGCTGTTCAGAGCGAGGCTTGTCTTCAATGCTGAAATCTGCATCCTTGAAACATCGAAACCATTCCCTACATGATTTATCAGTTGGAGCAGTGTCACCATAAACTTCGACAAGCATTCGATGGGCTTCAGCCGCACTTTTCTTCCAATTAAAGTAGAAAATCAAAACCTTCCGCAAATGCTGGTTAACACAAAATTCGACATTTCAAACACAGTAAAAATCAAGGTTTTTGTAATTCAAAGCGATATAAACTGAATATTATTAGCAGATGTTTAACCTCTCTGAAACCGCCAAAATCAGCTGTCACTATGAACCATTCACAACAGCTGGCCATCTTCAGCCCCATCCTCATGTCAAAAAACATTGCAAGTTATTAAAGAAAAGATTCAAGAATGCAGCTAAAAAAGCCACAAATTAATTGAATAGCTAACTGAACACAAATTAATAATACAACAATGCTAAAAACAAGAGAATGATCCAAGAATGCAGCTTGATCATAGAATGCAGCATGAGTTCTTAGATCATTATATACTTGTTTTTAGCATTGTTGTATTATTAATTTGACTTTTCTTTAGTGCTCAGTTAGCCATTCAACTAATTTGACAATGTGGCTTCTCAAGTTTGAAATTGAAGACGCCTTTTTAATTACATTCTTGGATCTTTTCTTTAATAACTTGCAATGTTTTTTGACATCGCTGAGAATGACTCGAACAGAGCTGAAACATTCGATCTCATCATTTTAGTTGTAAGAATTTTTAAATACAATGTGTAATATATAACTCCTGAATAACTGCATCTTATTGTCTGCTCAATCGTCTATTTTTTGTCTGATGTTTAGGATTGCTATTTTTTTCTTTTTTTTATGAGGATGTTTGCAGAGGTTTTTCAAATGCATCCGGATTAATTATGAGTTTCCGAGATTTGAGAGAATCTTCTAAATTTTTTTATTTGACTTCTCTCCCTCGTTATTCTATATTAGTTCTGATTTACAATAGATGTAGTATCCTTAAGAGACTGATCAATCATAGTTGAATATGAGATGAATCATAGTTGAATAATCAACTATATAATTGGTCAAGTTCTTACATTAAATTAGTATCATTAATGAACAATTAGATAAGGAATATTTATCTGTTCTGATCAATTTACTAGCCTCCATACATTTTTATATGCATCCGATTTCGAAATGTCCGGGGTTTTTGGCCTGTTAGTTCTAGTTTAAAAAATTTTAATATGGCAACCATATATATATTTAAAATCGTTTTAACAAACTATCAATTGATACACGTACCAAGGTTGTTATTGATAGAAGTTGGTAGGAATGGAGCTTATTTTGATACTCTGTATAAAAGCTATTATGTTAAAATTACTGGATTTTTGTACACACGAATAAAATATTGTTTAAAAATAATTTCTTATTTTGACGTTATATATAATAGAAGAGACAACATTGAGAGAATAAGACATAAGTTAAACAGTTAGCTATGTCTCTATTACTAATGATTAATCACGTGAAAATGTTGTTCTGGTATAGTTTGGTACACTTTGATTGCTATACTGAATCACGCCAAAAATCGCCTAATTTTGTATAAAAAATTGAATGTTTGAAAAATAAATTTAAATTTATTCACGACACAAAACTGGCTCTAGTTTGAGACTAACGGGCTGAATAGAGGAGACAGACTAAGGGAATAGTCTGAACCGAGTTACCGACTTAGAGAGATCTTCGATGGAGTTATACGATCCCGCGAAACTTTCCTCATAAGTCTCGCTCACCGCCGACCCTACTTACTTAAAACGTACTTATTGTCTGGTACAAACGCTTCTCCATCCTGAATAGAGGAATTTTTACGTTCTTTAAGCGATTTTTTTTTCTTTTCACTTCATCGCTTTAACCTTAATGCTCCCCTCCATTCGTTTATCGATCCGACGATTAACCGCAATGTCTCTTGCATCTTTTCTTCTCGCAGGAACGAGAAGTTTTACACTTGCTGTGACGAGCCTTACTTGGACATCACGTTCAACATCACGATGAGGAGGAAAACCCTCTTTTACACAGTGAACATTATCATCCCCTGCATGGGGATATCGTTTCTCACCGTTCTCACGTTTTATCTACCTAGCGACAGCGGTGAAAAGGTAAGCCAGTACATTCCTCGCTGGTAAATATTTGCATTTATTTTATCGCATTTTTATGAATCTCTGATTATCCTAACATTAAATTTATATTAAATTAATAAATTCGTTAAATGAGGAATGTTTATTTTTATTTATTTTTATTCATTTCATGTTTTCTTCAATGTTTCCTAAACAATTTTTTATGCAAACAGTATTATTTTCCTTTCTATTTACAGCTTAGCTTTTGTTATATGTATATAATTTACACACACACACACACACACACACACACACACACACACACACATAAATTAACTTCTCTAATTGAATATAAAAATATTTGAAAATCGGAAAGATATTTTAAAGATTAAGCATGTTTATGTTAATAAGCTGTTATATAGAGGATTTTTCTGTTTTCTATTAATATCTTTTCAGAAATACATAATATAGCGAATAAATATATGTAAAATAAAAAAAATGAGTATAAGAAGGACAGAGCCGCGATTAATCCTTTTATTTTCGGAAGCAGCCGCGGAGTGAACGTGCGTGAAATATGCAGCGAATTAGTTCTCTTCCGCGTGTCTGTCGACCTCGTTATTTACTCTTATCTGTACATAAGAGCTAGTAGGTGGTTACTTTTGGGTCGACGGCGCCGGCGATTTTTCATTTTCACCCCGGCATTTCTACCCTCATCGACTTACTACTATCTCGACTTGCACTATTTTCGCTCGCCCGAAAACAGATCCTTTCCTACTGTCGATGTATAATACGTAGTACCAAGAAGCTTACTCCTACACAATAGGCATTCGAGAACATTTTTGAATATTTTTTAAAAAATTTCCTTAATATTATTCGGATATTGTAAATCATTCAGATATTCTGGATGGATTTTAAGTTCTTTTAAATTTCTTGATATTTTTTAGATGTGAGTTCTGTCAAATATTTCTCTAACCTTGTTATTCAACAAACATATTAAATATTCGTCTACATATTATAGATATTCTTTGAAAATAGAATATCCTAATAGATTCCACAGAATTCATGCTGTGCGTGATTCTATACGCATTTTTCTTTCTCTGCGAAGAATATTTTTAAGAAAAGTTTATTCCGCCACAAAACGACGCTTACAGCTGACATTCTTCCCGAAGTGCCCTTCCTCGTGCAAAGTTATCGACGTAGCATGGCATAAAAGCTTCACCATACGTTCTCCACGCACTTTTTCCCGTTAATGTTCACGGCACGTCGCGACATGCCACAAAGATTACGCGTTACTCTGTGAACTGGTATTGTAAAATGTTTTTTCTTTCCCAACCCCCTCGATCGGCTTCTCTGTTTCTTCTGCTGGGAGGACTCGCGTTAAAGTCGTTTTTTTTCTGTTTCTCGTTCTCTTCTTCGTTTCCTTCTCTCTCTCTTGAAAAAGCATAACTATTAGTCGTACTTGCGCGCAGTTGAAGAACTATCGACAGCGCAATTAGCATCTGTTATTAAGAAGAAACGGACAGTAGTTGATTGTGTATCAAAGTACCGAAGATAAGGATGTTTTTACATGATGCAACATGTTTGTCTTCTCTTATTAATCCCTTCAATGTCGAGTCTTTATTGATTGTGAGAGAAAATGTCTATTTATCAAGCAGTTTTTCTACATTTCACACACTAGAAACATTTATTATTAAAATAATTTTCAATAATTATTTCAATTAATTATTGACAAAATTATTAAAAGAATTTTCATATTTATAATGCTTGCCACGTCGTAAATTGCATTTCTCTCTGCATTTAATTTTTACTTATTAAATGAATTGTTTTAAATGTTGATTCATTCGGAAAATGGTAAATTACGCATTCAATATTTCTAACTAATACAGCGTGTGTGATTTGATTCGAGAAAGCACAGTGTCAATCATTCATTCTATCTTTAACCATTTATTGATTTTGTTTCCAAGAAGTAGGCAACGCGAAAAGGAAACGCCACTCTATTATACATTTGCTATCGCCATTTTCAAGCAAAATATAAGCACGAGACACATTTTACGAGAGACATTACTTTTATAATGTCCATAATAAAACATCATGCAATATATCTATACATATAATATTCACGTAATGTGTAACTTTGCTACTTTTTATAATTTTTCAAATCATAACTTTCAGGCGGATTTAATCCTAATCGGTATTCACGAATTTAATGGACCCGGATATTTTCTTCTACTACGGTGTGAAAATTTGTTTATAACAAATATTTTTCATAGTTTTACATAATTTTAAATTATGTAATCTTATTCCTTTAATATTGATTATCAAAATAAAAAAAAATCATTATGTTAGTTATGTTAACTTTATGTAAAAATACATTAATTTAAAGTACATTGGATATACGAATACCAATTAAAGCGGAGCGAATACTAATTAGAATTAATTCATATAATTTCTATAGACATGATGTTCGAGAAACTGTATCACATCATGCTTGTTTCTATATTGTCAAGCCCCAATTTCTCGTAGAATCTTCGCAGATATACTGCACAAGACGTGCTAGGAATGCGAACGATCAGCGTCAGCAAGAAAGTGGCGCGCAGAATTTGCGAACGACTTTTCGTGGAAGCGTCTCTCGTTTGGATGGCTGTCGAGTTAAGACCTGCTATCAACATTCACGTTCCAGGATATACATCTTCTGTCGTGTCAAAAAAATGGAAGTTATGTAGTGTCAAGAGTCGCATATTCTTGGAGTGTGCAGACTAAAAAGGCAATACTTGATAATATACATATATCAAAGTCATTGCTATGTAAGTAATGTGGAATAACAAGAATAACGGTAAAATATAGAGATCAAATTTGAAAAATCAGTACTCTTATTGATTTAAAATAAAAAGCAAAGAATAAAAAACAAAATGAAAGATATCGTTAGAATATGATAATATTCTAATAGTCCTCATTTCATTAAAATAATATGGAAGTCACATTCAAGTAAAACATTTTGCTGAATAAAGATTCAAGAATATGAATAAATAACGAAGTTTTTTTTCTTACTCAATATTAAATGTACAATTCGCGCATATAAACTTGAGTAGTATTCCAATAGAAATCGATTCTTTTAAATATTTATGTACCAATTTAATAATAAATAAAGTTATGACAACATAGAAAGAACAATATAACTGAAAATTTAGATAGGCTGAAAATAATTTTGTTAAACTATCAAAATAATTGTGTAGAAAACTCAAGCATGATAAGCATGCTGCAAGAAGTTTTGACGTTCTAACAATCTGTTTGAGCATCCTACATAATTATTTTGATAATTCAATTAAATTACTTTTGATCTGTATCTATCTTTTTAGATATTTTTAAAAAATTGTTCTTTCTGAAAGTAATTAGATTTTCTTTAAATCATTTTTTTTTAAATTAATTCTAATTTATAAATATAATCTAAAAAACATCTTTTTTTGATGCATTATAAGATAGATCGAAGAATTTTTATAGACATATTATATTTATAAATTGGAACCAATTTTTCTTTAACCTGATTTGATTTGCGAAAAATATAATTATTTCATCAAAAACCAGTTAAGTCACGGAACTTCTCAAGTATGTGTAATTATAATAAAAATCGCCTTTAATATTTCGAAAAAATTCTCATATGATGGCATCTGTCCTTCATGATTTATCTTATATAATGCCTATAAATATCTTTTTTGTACCGTAAGATAAATCACGAAGAACACCATATAAGAATCTTTTCGAAGTATTAAAGGTAACCCTTATTACAGTGTTACATATACTTGAGAAGTTTCACGATTTAAATACAACAGTATAAGCCAGTTTTACACTTAGAATTTTCTTGCAAGCGTCATGTTGTTCTTAATAATAGTTTGTTCTTGTTGTGTATAACAATGAAATATTTTGTGGCAAGCATAACTTGTATGCGCGTGTCTTAGTCTAACGTCAATGAATGCATTATTTTATAAAGTTTACTTTGTTGGAAAGCTATAAATAAAGACAAGCATAGATGTAAATCAATCAATGCGAGCCAACACAAGTTAGGCGTGTGTGAAATCGTATACTTTATTCTTGAGAAAAATTGACAAACGTTTCAATTCTTCCGATTGGGTCTCCCTTAGTGTAAAAATAAAAATAAAATCGGTGATGCATAAATTTAATAAAAGATGCGATATGAAGCAAATTGAAGTATCGTGTATGTTAACACACATTCATAATTTGAGTTAGATACGACAGACAGCATTATTTTCATTTTATGAATATGTGTTAACACACGATACTTCAATTTACTTCATATCGCATCTTTTATTAAATTTATATATCACCGATTTTATTTTTATTTTTACATAGAGGAAGATCCAATCGAAAAGGTTGAAACGTTTGTTAATTTTTCTCAAGAATAAAATATACGATACGAAGAATAAAATATTTCGCACACGCCTAACCTGTGTTGGCTCGCATTGGTTGATTTACACCTATCCTTGGATTTATTGTAGCCAATACCAAGATTGATAATTATATAAATAAAAAGAAATATTGAAGATATCAAATATTCTATACACCACAGAAACAAAAAATTTTTTCTATAATATTTATGTAGAGCGGAAGATGGAAAGTGATAGAGAAAATAAACTCGATTGCAGATTTCGAAAAAATAAAGTCACGAGCATCTGTTGCAGCTTCTAGGCATGTCAATCAAGCAGAGAGAATCGATAAGCAATATCGCGGTTCGGTGATTGACCCGCAGCCACGCTGCGTCTACCGAAATTGCATACCACATGCATTCCCCACTTCACCTTTTTTTTATGATGCCTCATGACTGTACATCGCAGCGTTTTGTTTCAATATTTTTGGCCATCATTTTTAGATTTATTTGGTTGAGCCATCCCGCGTTTATAAAAGTACATAATAAAAAAATTGAGTTTACTATACAATCTTCCCTCATAAATCCATAAAACAGAAACTTTAAAAATTTGAGACTTGGTAAAATAATTGGATAAAGTTACAAAAGATCCAATTTATCCAAA